TGTTTTGTTCTGCTGTGCATAAGGTCACTATGAGTCAGTACCGACTCGATGGCACCTAACAACAACAACAACATGCTATCGGGGCTCCTTCTAGATGCTGGTTGTTGCTAGGTGCCATGAAGTCGATTCTGACTTCTACAGGTGATCCTATATAGGGTTTCCAAGGCTGTAAATCTTTACGAGAGCAGAAAGCCTCATCTTTTTCCCACGGAATGGCTGGTAGTTTCGAACTGCCGACCTTGAGGTTAGCAGCCCGATTCATAACCACTACGCTACCAGAGCTCCTTCCAGATGCTTGTAGTTAGTTGAGTTTTAAACTGTTAAGTGTGAGACAATCCCTACTGTGTGTGAGCCCACTGTTGCAGTCATTGCGTCAACTACCTCGCTGAGGGTCTTCCTCTTTTTTTTTGCTGCATGATGTCCTTTTCCAGCAACTGGTCCCTTCTGGTAACATATCCAAAGTACCTAAGATGAATTCTCACCATCCTTGCTTCTAAGATGCTTTCTGGCTGTATTTCTTCCAACATCGTTTTGTTTGTTATCCTGGAATTCCATGGCATTATTTAATATTCGTCACCAACAACACAATTCAAAGGTATCATTTCTTTTCCGTCTTCCTCATGCATCGTCCAGCTTTCCAATGCTAGAGCTTTACATTGTTGTTAAGTGCAGCCGAGCCGGTTCCAACTCAGAGGGACCCTGTATAGAGTTTCTCAAGCTGTAACATCTTTGAGACAAAAGAAAGTCTCATCTTTCTCCTTCAGTGTGGCTGGCAAGCTCAAACCACCAACTTTGTGGTTCACAGTCCAGTGTTTATCCTAAGGAGCCGCCACACTTTACATTAGCTGCAGCTCTTTAACAAACACCCAGGGAGCATCCGAAGGGCATTCCCACCCCAGCCCTGGCAGCTGGTAACCTGCTGGTATTTCTATCTCCTTGGAGGCAGATTCTGAGAGTCTGGCCTCCTAAGTGGCAGTTTCAGGACCTGAGGTTCAGAAATTCCGATAATCTGAGACTCCCCATGACCCTATGAGATACTGATGCTTAGTTAATTCCAAAGCAAGGAGTCAGGGTCTGCTCCACCAAGACGTGATGAATGAATGAGTTTTAAGGATCAGGTACCAGGATTGGAAACGTCAAGGAAGCCAAGTGCTGGGGCTTCATGGTTTGTATCCACTTGTCACCCTAACCCTTGAACCCCATCACCCAGGTGGACCCACAGGCTAGGAGGCAAGTCACCCCATCATCGGAATCTTAAAAGCTTAAAATGAGGATGGCAACAGTACGTTACCTTAGAGGGCCGGTTGCCTTGTGAAGATTCAGCAAAACCAGAGCTCAACAGATCCTCCAGGAGGCAGGAGAGAGCAAGAAATAAGACCATGTGGGTGGAAGTCAAGTTCTGGCTGGGATCCCTACCTGGCTGTGTGGCCCTGGGCAGGTGACTTCACCTCTCTGAGTATGTCTGTAAGTGAGGGCTATAGAGACTGTGCAGATGAAGCCAGGTGCATGTAGAGCTGTGCTTGGCACATGGCAAGGACTCAAATGGACCGTGTCCTTATTAGTATAATGGTAGATTAGGGGATGACAAGAGGGTGATGGGGAAATGGTGTGTGAGTGGCAGGAACTGAGGAGATGAATGGCAGAGGGGGATGGAGTCCTCCTATAAGAAGTCCTCCCTGACTCATTACCCCCTCTCCACCCCACACAGCTTCCTGATTGGAGAAGATGGGCTGGTGTATGAGGGCCGGGGCTGGAAGGTCAAGGGCGATCACACAGGGGTCACCTGGAACCCCATGTCCATTGGCATCACCTTCATGGGCAACTACATGGGTGAGTGACTGGACAGGGCTGGGGGCTGCCATGGGACCTAGGGGGTGGCGGCTGTAAGGGAAGAGTGATGGAGGCTCCCTACTCCTATCCTTGCCACTCAAATCCCACTGGAAGTTCAAACTTAAGGTCCTCGGAATAAAGCCTCCGTCACCTACAGCCTCCGTTAGATTCCCACTCACAGCGACCCCTATAGGACAAAGCAGAACTGCTCCATTGGGTTTCCAAGGCTGTAAGTCTTTCCAAAAGCAGACTGCCCTCATCGTTCTCCCTCAGAGCAGCTGGTGGGTTTGAACCACTTACCTTGCAGCTAGCAGCCTAATGCTTAACCCACTGCACCACAAGGGCTCCTTTCCTTTGGACTGCTATTGTTAACTGCTGTCAAGTCAGTTCTGACTCATAGCGACCCTGCGTAGGATTTCCAAGGAGTGGCTGGTGGGTTTGAACTGCTGACCCTGAGGTTAGCAGCCCAGTGCTTATCTAACCATACCACACCAGGACTCCTTCCTGGGATAGTGAAGGTCGTTTTCAGCCATAGGGTTGGGGTGAAGACTAGTTCATGCACAGAGAAACTATTACTATTAGCCCAGACCTAAAATGTACCTGGAGCCCTGGTGTGGCCTGTGGGTTAATGCGCCAGACTGCAAAGCCATTTGAACTGCAAGGTCGGTGGTTCAAGCTCACCAGCTGCTCCTTGAAAACCCTATACAGGGTCGCTATGGGTCAGAACCGACTCGACAGCACTTCACAACAACAAGTATCTAAGAAGTGCCTTTGAAAGGTCAGCTACCATTTGGGGTGGGACTCAGACGTCAGGAGCAGAGGAAATACACAATAACCATTAGACATTTGCTAAGGTTAGCTTCTTCCTCTGTGCCAGAACAGATGAGGAAATTGAGGCACTAAGAGGTTAAGTCACTGAATGTGGCGCTTCAGGATAAACACTGGACAGCTAGTCACAAGGCAGTTCTAACGGAGCAGCTGCTCCTAGGAAACCCTATATGAATCCCTAAGAATTGGAACCTAACTGACAGCACCTAACAACAAGGGAGTAGTAGAACCGATATCTGGCCCCTGACGGGAACCAAAACGTACACACACACACGTACACACACATGTACACACACGTACACATGCATTCGACCTCCGCCCTCCAGTAGAGCTCCAGCCTCACCCCTGCCTTTATTTTTCACAGAGCGGGTGCCCCCGCCCAGGGCCCTCCGGGCAGCCCAGAACCTGCTGGCCTGTGGAGTGGCAGTGGGCGCCCTGAGCCCCCACTACGAGGTCAAAGGACACCGGGATGTGCAGCAGACGCTCTCACCAGGTGACCAGCTCTACTCCATCATCCAGACGTGGCCACACTATCGGGAGTGAAATTCTCTGCTTACTGCCGCCCCTCTCCAACGCCCACTCGTTTGTTCCTCCTCTAATAAAGTTGTAGCTCCCACCGAGATCCTCCGGTGCCCCTCCTCCCTCTCACCCGCCCAACCGCCCACCCGCTGGAAGCCGAGTCCCTCCCCCAGCACTGTTCTTGAAGTTGCTCAGAATCCAGAGGCCCCGACCCTGAACCAAGACCCCGGAGATCCCAGCTCAGAAACGACATCACAGCTCAGAACCCAGAGGTCTCAGGTCAGAGCCCAGGAATCGGCACCGAGTCAGCCAGGCATCAGGGATGGTAGCTTGGGGTCCCAGGGCGCTGAGCCAGGCTGCACGGCCCCCTCCGCCACCGCGCAGCCACCTGGGTCCCAGCGCAGAACTCCTGCTGGGACCCCTTACTCACTATCACACCTCAGGCCACCCCTTTCAAAAATTTGTTTTTCCTGAGACTGAACTCTGTTTACCACGTACACTCAGAAACAGTCCCCCAATTCCACCCTGACCTCAAATCATCTTCCTTTAGCTCGACTCCATCCCCACCCTTCAGTCATAAGCTGAGGGGTCCCAAGGGCAAACATGTTTATTTACAAAACGCACAAACGCTCCCACCCAGCATGCATTGCAGGGGCAGGGCAGGCGCAAAGCAAGAGGCTTCACACCTGGAGACCCCAGAGCACCAGGAGGGGTGGGGCCTGGCAGGGCTGGGAGACCACCCGGCCCCCCGCGCCCATGCCATGGAGGGGGTGGAGGGGCAGCCCCCCCTGGGCCGTCAGGGCCGCGTGTCCAGCCGGTTCATGTATTCCTGCAAGGCCTTCAAGCGGGCGTCAATTTCAGCTATGTCAGCTGCCTGGTGATCTGAGGGGTGGGCATGCAAGTAGGGGGCTGTAAGGGGCTTTGGTACCAACCCAGCAGGCTCCAAGGCTGACGGAGGGTGGGGGAAGCCCAAGCTCACCTCTAATGGGGACCCATCCCCCAGAATTGCCCAGGCGTCTTTGATGATTCCCCTGTTCCAGGGGGTTGGACTTCTGGTGCTGCTGGAGGGGGGAGGGGGAGGGCGGAAGAAGGGTTCAAGCTTCCTCCCTGATTTCTGCCCCACCCCCACCCCAACTTCCATTGTTAGTTCAAATCTACACTCCTCAGAAAAAAAGGGCTGATACATACTGGGACTTACTACGTGCCCCTGAACGTGTATTTTCACAACAACTCACTGAAATGGGGAACTATTACCATTCACATTTGACAGATAAAGAAACTGAGAGACTGAGAGCTAAGGAGCTGCCTTCAGTCATACAGGTGGTAAAAGGGAGAATTGGATTTAACCGGATTTTGAGATCAGATCTTTTGAGACCAGAATCCAAATGTCCCCTGTCCCCTCCATCCCCTGGGTCTAAAAATCCCTGTTTCTAGAAATTTCTGATCTGCCTCAGCAATCTGATCCCCAGGATGGAATCGTGGAAGAAGGGACAGCGGCATCTGCTGCCCACAAACTCACCGTGTTGGACCTATTCCAGGTTGAGGGGCTGGGAAGTTTCCTGCGGTGGCGAACGCTGAGAGGGAGCAATCGAGGGCCAATGGGACGGACCAATGGGATGAAACCACACCCTCTGTGGTTTCAAGACCCTCCCGGTCTCCACCATCTATCTCTCCCTGCAAAAGGCTGTTTCCAGGCTCCCCAGAAACCCTATTGCAGGTGGCCCTTTTCCCCCAACCCAGGTTTTACCCTCTGGAGAGCGACTCGGAGAAATCCTCTAGCTCGCTGCAGGAGCTGGCGGATGAGCAGCGACTGCGAAAACTGTCCACTAGAGGTAGGATGAAGGTGTGAAGATTTCTGTGCCCGCCCCCCCGCTTGCCCCACCCACCCAACCTGCCCAGTCCGCCGCTCCAGCCCAGTTACCCGATGAGCTGCGGTTTCGGGACCGGTTAGCCGCGTCCCCTCGGCCGGTCACGGTGGCAGGGGGCCGGGCCTGACGAGACCATGAACTCGTTGGACCATCCCCACTGCCTCCACTGCCCAATCGGTTCCGCTGCTGCTGCCTGGGGAACAGAAGAGGAGACCCTGGCTTGGGCACTAAACTAATTCAGGAGGGCTGGTCCCCTCTAAGGTCACAACCTTGACCTGAGGTCACTTGGTTGGAGACAGGGAGACAGACAGGTGAGGGTTCAGGAATGGGGCGAAGCTAGGTAAGAACCAGGTGGATGGCAATGAAGGTGCAAGTAACAAATGAGGGACCAAGATAAAGGAAGTGAGTGCACACTAACTTCATCTTGAGCTCTCGCTGCTTCTTCTCCTTGGCTTTCACAAAGGCTGTGGGGTCGAAACGAGTCGGGCGAACACCTAAGGCAGCGAGGGAAAAAGTCATAGGGTCCCGGCTCCACAGCTGCAGCGCGGCTCACCACCACCTCCCACACCTATACCCCAGGCAGACCTGTAGGCGAGGGAGATGGGTGGGTGGGGCGGCCCCTACCCCGGCCCCCACGGCCACTCTCCCGTGATGAGGAGCGAGTGGCACCGCGGCCACGAGACGTGGAGCGTTCCCGGGACGACATGGCGCGGTCCTCCCGGACTGAAGGTGGAGCCACCGGCGGAGTCCGTCTCCTGAGGGTACAGGACTCGCTATCAAGTTACTGCTGACCTGGACAACCCCTACCGTCCAGACTATACTGGTCTCTCGCCTCTAGGCAATCATTCACCTACTGCTGGTAGACGTTCACACCTTCGCCCTCAACCATCCCAGGTGTCCCACCCACAGACCCCAAAAACACTCAACCCAGAAACCCTTCCCAGTATTCCACCAGTCACCTCCTTGATAAATGCCAACAGACAGCGCCCTGGTCCCCCCCCCCCCACCCCGCCTGCTGGGTAGAGCCCCGTAGCTCAACTACACTCCCAAGGTCCGCCTCTTTCTACTACCTCTTTAGATTTCGCACACACCCCAGACCACGCCCACCGGATTTCAAGCCCAGCCCACACTCATTCAAAATGCCCCAAGGCTCTGCCCACCAGGCCCAAGGCCACTCGCAGATCCAGAGCGCCCCAGGCCCGCCCACTGAGTGGCGTCCTCACCCTCTCTTGTACTGAGCCAGCTCGCTGTTGAGGGTCCTCAGCCGCGCACGCAGGTTCCGCTCAGACGCCCTCACTTCCTCGAGCTGTCACAGGGAAGAGGGGCATAGAGGTCCAGAGGAGGCTGGTTGTCCGGTCCACAGGCCACCCCGTAGCCTCCCCGTGTCCCTCACCTCCTTGGTCAGGCGGCGGCAATCCTGGCCACGGCGGATCGCTGGGCGGCCGACACCGCGCTCCTGGCGCAGCTCCAGCTCTAAACCGCGCACCAGCCCGCGCAGCGCCTCTGCCTCCTGGCGCGCCGCCCGGCCTGCCAACACCTCCTCGCGGGAGCGGCCCAGCTGTACCTCCAGCTCGCGCTTCTCTGAGGACAGGCGGGACACCCTGGGAGAGAAGAAAATGGGGAGATAGGGAAGAGGGTTCGACTTCATTACCCCTGCCTCCCTCGCCAAAAGGGAACACTCCCAGCCACTCCTATGGATTGAGGCCACATCTCATCATACTCCCTCTTCCATGGGGGTGAGCACAACCCAGCGTTTTCTTTTCTCCACCTTCTCCCATGATGGAGGAACAGCAGCCCCCTTCTCCAGGGTCAGACAAAATCCCACCACATCCCCATCTCCCCTATAGGATGAGAGGGTGCATTCTAATTCTAAAATACGTCATCAGTCTGTAGCTTGCCTTTCCAGCTCTGAAGTCCCCACCCAAGCCTGCCCAGCTCAGTCACCTCTCTCCCATCCCAAATCTGATCAGGGTCACATCAGGGCTCACAATCTTTCCTCAACTTTTACACACGTTCAAACCCACCAGCTGCTCTGTGGAAAAAAAAGATGAGTTTTTCTGTTCCCGGTCAAGATCCGCAACCTTAAAAACCCTGGACAGGGTCGCTGTGAGTCGGAACCAACTCAATGGCAGTGAGTTTGGTTTGTTTATTTTTATCCATTACAGCACAAGCAGTGTCCGCGAAAGGATACCAACGTACATTACTGAAACACTGGCTGAATCTTAGGGTACAGTCACTCTATGGCAGCCATGGCCAAAGAGGAAGGAGGACTATGCTCTGTCCCCTAGTGATGACGGCCAAGATACAGACATTAATCCATCTCACTGCCAGACAGTCAAGTTAGTCTGTCCCTCTTTGTAAAACAAAAGGGGAATTAGAAATTAGCTCTAGGCTCGCATTTTCAAAAATATATAATGGAGAAATCAAAACTAATAAAAGTGAGTTGCCTACAGAGGAGGGAGGAAGACTGGAAAGAAAACCAAACTTCCTGCCTTTGAGGCCATTCGGACTCATAGTGACCCTAGAGGACAGAGCAGAATGTCCCCTACAGACATTCCAGCCCTGGGGAAGGAGACTGCTGTCCTGTACGGTTTCCAAAGCTGTAAATCTTTACCGGAGCAGACAGCCTCAGAGAGTCTCATCCTTCTCCCTCGCAGACAGCACAAAAATATCAAAATGGGAAATGAAACTACTGTTTTTCAATATATCCTCCATCTAGGGTCTATACTGGACTATACTGGTCTATATGGGTCTCCTGGTGTGGCACTACAGGATCAGCATTGGACCACTAAACACGAAGTTGGTGGTTCAAACTCACCAGCCGCTCCTTGCCAACTAGACAGGGCCACTATGAGTCAGAAAGGACTCAAAGGCACTAAACAACAAATTGTTGTGAAGTGCCGTCGAGTCGGTTCCGACCCATAGCGACCCTGCATAGGGTTTCCAAGGAGCGACTAGTGAGCTTGAACCACCGAGCTTGTAGTTCAAACGACTTTGCAGTCTGGTGCATTAACTCACAGTGCCACACCAAGACTCCTAAACAACAATTGTTGTTGTTGTTAAGTGCCGTCGAGTCGGTTCCGACCCAAAGCGACCCTGTACAGGGTTTCCGAGGATGTAAATCTTTACGGGAGCAGAACACCTCATCTTTCTCCCATGGAACAGCTGGTAGTTTAGAACTGCTGACCTTAAGATTCGCAGCCCGATTCATAACTACGACGCTACCAGAGCTCCTAAAACAACAATAGGTCTATACATTTCTGCAGGCAGGGTTTCTAGCTCTCTAACCCTTCCTCCTGGAGTACCGCTGTGGGTTAATGCACTGGACTGCAAAGTCATTTGAACTGCAATGTCGGCAGTTCAAGCTCACCAGCTACTCCACGGAAACCCTATACAGGGATCACCACCAACTACCAGTGTCGGAACCACCTCAACAGTACAACTCAACAGCAACAACTCTTCCTCCAATTAATTGTGCACTCATCAATTTACATCTTATCAAAACAGCTGTTTTGGCATCCTTGAGGGATTCAAACTGTTCCTTTTCAATATTCTTTGAGTTTGAAGAACAAAAAGAAGTCTGAAGGGGCAAGGTCAGGGCTGTAGGGTAGATCTGGTAAGATTTCCCAGGGAAATTCTCACAGGACAGCCGCTGCTGACAGATGAGTGGTAACCCTGTACGAATGAGTAGGTGCATTGTTGTAGATGGAAAAACCATCCCTGGTGCAGCTTGCCTGGCCTTTTCAATTTTCTTAAAACTTCTTCCTCATAAGTCTCTGTAATCATCCTGTGTCTTTTGAGAAAATCTATCAAAATGATCCCTTTGGAGTCCCTTAAACAGTCACCATAACTTCTGAGCTGACCTCTCTGCTTTGAATTGAACTGCAGATCCCCTCTGAAGGCACTGTTTTAATGGACCTTCTTCTGAAGGCACTTGAACAAGACTAGGAGAGTGTATTACTGGGCTAACTGGTCTGCAGCCATCCACTGAGGGCAAAGACGTGATTATAGGGGGTTTTTGTGGGGGGGGGGAACACAATCATGAACGAACTGGAACCCTAGTAGTAATACTTTTTGACTTACCCTTCCTTGTAAGTCAATGTCTACAGAGAGGGAAGAGGAGTAGGTAGATCAACAATTGGGCAAAATGTGGACAGCCATTAAAGTTGAGGCAAGGACATGGGCTTTACACTATTACCTACTTATAAGGAGCTCTGGTAGCGTAGTGGTTATGAATCGGGCTGCAAACCTTAAGGTCAGTGGTTCGAAACTACCAGCCGCTCCGCGGGAGAAAGATGAGGCTTTCTACTCCCGTAAGGATTTACACCCTCGGAAACCCTGTACAGGGTCGCTATGGGGTCGGAACCGACTCGAAGGCACTTCACAACAACAATGTGCTCTTAGAATTTAATTTTCTCTAATAAAACGTTTTTTAAAAGACCCTAAGCCTGCCCAGCTGGTTTCCCCCTTTCCTCCTCTTCATCCTCCCTCTCCCATTTCACTCCAGCCCTTTTCAAAGTCCATTCCTCCTCTTTCCCCTGGCAGGAAGGACTCCACTCATCTTTCACTGGTTCTCTCCTCCAGGGAGCCCTCCTGGGTCACTCCCTCTGTTCTCTATTCTCTTGCCTCCCACTACAAGGCCTTCCTGGCACCAACTAAAAGAGAACTGGCATCTATTTCTGCCAGGGTCTGTTTCCTATGTGGCTTCCATACTCCTTCAACCCCCCCCCCACCACCACCACCACCAAGGATGACCGTCTATATCTGTCTGGTGGCTTATATTCAACTCTGAAAGGCCACCATTGTCAAGTTAATTCCAACTCAGAGTGACCCCATCAGGATAATGTAGGCCTACCCCATAGGGTTGTAACCTTGACAGAAGCCGACTCCTGGGAAACAGCCGGTGGGTTAGAACCACTGGCCTTTCTATTACTAGCTAAGTGTTCTTAACCATTGCGCCACCTGGGCTCCACTTATTACAAGCTAGTGACCGTAGGCAATTAAACTTCATAGCTCTGGGCCTCAGTTTTCTCTTCTGTGAACAGGAATCATGGGGAAAATGAGAACAGCTTTCTGGTAAGGTCAGAGGAATATCTGACAAAAGGCTCAGACCAGTGTGCCTGGAATATAGTTGTTGTTGTTATTGTTGTTAAGTGCCTCTGAGTTGATTCCAACTCATAGTGACCCTGTATATAATAGGGTTTTTGAGGAACAGCTGGTAAGCTTGAACTACCAATCTTGCAGTTCAAACCAACTTTGCAGTCCAGCACATTTACCCACAGTGCCACAGCAGGACTCCTCATATACAGTAGGAACTCAATAAATGGTATATGAATTAAGGAAGGAATCCTGGGGTCTATCCAAACTCCCTAATTTCAGGTTGGGATGAAGAAGGAGAGAACTGACCAGCAGTAACATCAAGTCAGCCTCTCTCGTTTCCAAAAGATCAATGGTGCCACCTTGTGGCCATCCTGGGGATAACACGCTCTCTCCACCTCGCTTCTTACCTTGTTGGCCTGAGGGTGATCCTAAGGATGAACTTATCCAGCCTCACCACCGCAGCTTTCCTGCCCCTTGAACTTTGATGGGGAAGATTCAGGACCCACAGGCTCCCCAGCCCCTGGGCAAGGGTAGCTTGGTCCCCCTTATGAGCACTTAGCCCTGGCCAGCTACCTGGATCTGACGCCTGGCCTGGCCAGTTACTCAGTGTGACCTGAGGCAAGTTCCTTACCCTTTCTGGGCCTCAATCACCTCCTCTGAAAAACAGGGATGATAACAGTGCCGACTTCCTAATGTGGCATTGTAATATCAGCACTAGACTATGCACCACAAGGTCAGCAGTTCAAACCCACCAGCTGCCCCTGGGAAACCCTACACAAGGTCGCAATGAGCCAGAACTGATTTGAAGGCACTGAACCACCACCACCAGCTCATGCAGAAGTTATGAGGATTCAATGGATTCGCTCAGAAATCACTGATCAGATTCCCTGATACAAATTTAAATGCTCAATGTTGTTGTTGTTAAGTGCCATCCAGTGGTTCCGACCCATAGTGACTCTGTAAAGGGTTTCCGAGGAGCAGCTGGTGAGCTTGAACCGACAACCTTGAAGTTCAAACGGCTTTTCAGTCTGGCGCATTAACCCACAGCACCACACTACTATATTCCTGTTATCACTGTTGTCCTTTGGTGCTGTCGAGTGGGTTCCAACTCACAGTCACCCAATGTATAACAAATGGCTGATAATTATCATGACAGAGCCCAGGTGGTACAACATTATAGCATGCCACTGCTAACCCAAAGGCTGCTGGTTCAAACCCACCCAACCCTCCACAGAAGAACAGCCTAGTGATGTGCTTCCGTGCAGACGACAACGCAGGAAACCCTATGGGGCAGTTGTATTCTGTCCTGAAGGGTCGCTATGACACAGAATCGAAACAGACTGCGACAGCAGTGGGTCTGGTTTTGGTTCAGGTCTCCCCAGAGTGCTGAGCATGCGGTCACGCAGGGCATGCTGGGATGTGTCCCCCTTTCCTTGCTCTGCCCCCAGCCCCTCTGCCCCTCCCAGACTCACTGTTCCCGGAGGTGCCAGATCTCTGCCTCCCGGGTGTCCCGAGTCTCCTGGCCCCCCAGCCCTCGAAGGTGGCCCAGTTCCTCCTTCAGTGAGCGGATGATGCCCTGCAGAACCACAGGATCCGGCTTGCCCTGGTATGGGAGGGGCAGTGGGTAGTGAATCCTGAGGAAAGAGGATCAGAACCATAGCATCTCAGAGACCAAGAATCCACCCGACCGTAATTACTGGACTATAAGAGCTGGTGAGTACGAAAATCCACAATGCCCTCAACCCTGCCTTCCTACTAGCTATGTTCTAAACGAAGCTGGGAGCACCCTTCCCTGCCCCCGGCCCCTTCCACTGGCCTGTCATCCCTCAGACACCTCGTAGGTCCGAGTTTGGGAACTATCAGGATAGGACGGAAGGCCCTGCCCTGGGCAGTCTTTAGAAACTTCCCTCTCACACATACTAGTGAAGTTGAAGTTGGCATCACATTACTCGCAGTCAAACACACTCCTAATTCAGGGTCCACAGCGGGAGATTCTAGTTGAGCTGACCTGAGTCATCCTTTGGCTAGGGATAGGGAGGACATCTTGATTGACCACCAGATCACACTCATTGTGAGGAACTGTCAGGGTGGTTCTGACCATACACACAATAGAACAAAACACTGCCCAATCATGCGCCCTTCTCACAATTGTTACTACACTTGCCCTTCTCACAATTGTTACTACACTTGAGTCCACTGATGCTGCCACTGTGTCAAACCATCTCATTGGGGAGCTGACACTCCATGATGTCCTCTCCAGGGACTGGTTCCTCCTAACCACTTGCCCAAAGTATGAGAGATGAAATCTTGCCATCCTGGCTTCTAAGAAGCACTCGGCTTTACTTCTTCCAACACAGATTGGTTTATTTTTCTGATGCCCATAAAACTTTTAACATTCTTCTCCAACACGGTAATTCAAATGCATCAATTTTTCTACAGTCGCCCTTATTCATTGTCCAACTTTAACATGCATATGAGTCTACTGAAAATACCGTGGTTTGGGTCAGGCGCACCTTAGTCCTCAAAGTAACATCTTTGCTCTTGAACACTTTAACAGCATTTTTGCCTAATTCAATAAGTTGTTGGATTTCTTGACTGCTGCTTCCATAAGTGTTGATTGTAGATCCAAGGAAAATGAAGTCTTTGGCAACTTCAATCTTTTCTTCATTTAGCATGGTGTCATTTGTTGATGTAGTTGTGAGGATTTTTTGTTTTCTTTACATCAAAGTGCAATCCATACTGAAGGAAGTGGCCTTTGCTCCTCATCAGTATTTTAAAGTCCTCTTCACTTCTAGCAAGCAAGGTTGCAATCTACATATCATAAATTGCTAATGAGTCTTCCTCCAATCCTGACGCCATGCTCTTCTCCATTTAATCCAGCTTCTTGGATTATTCGCTCATCATACAGACTGAATAAACATGGTGAAAGAATACAATCCTGGCATGCTCATTTCCTGCTTTTAAACCATTCAGTATCTCCTTGGGCTGCTAACCACAAGGTCAGCAATTTGAATCTACTAGCTGCTCTGTGGGAGAAAGATGAGGCTTTCTGCTCCCGTAAAGATTTACAGCCTCAGTCGCCCTATCCAGGGTCCTCAGTCGTCCTATCTGGGGTCCTCAGTTGTCCTATCCAGGGTTCTCAGTTGTCCTATCTGGGGTCCTCAGTCGTCCTATCCAGGGTCATTATGGGTCAGAACTGCCTCGAGGGCACACAGCAACAGTAGCAGGAACCATCCTTCATGTGTTGGCATTTTTTCTCTAATGGAATTGCTGCGTCGCAGCCACTTACCTTAGATACCTTGTTATGTGAGAAAGATAAACTATTGTTGGTTGAAGGCACTGGTCAATTGGCTAGTCCGCTACTTGGAGTCAAACTAATGATACAACCCCTAACTTGCAAGATCCCAAAGGCAGTGTTTAACCAGCATCCCCACCTGTCCCCAGGTTCCAGGGGTTCCTGAGGTCTAATGTGTCTTCTCCAGCCCAGCCCACCAACCTGGTCTACAACCAAGTCCATGTCCCCACCTGTCAAACTCCACAGAGTAGATGAGGATCAGGTAGCGCTTGGAGTTGAGTTGGGCCGATCTTGGGGCCAAAGGGCCTGGGCGGGCCCCCATCTTGCGGTTCCGCAGGGACTCCAGATCAGTGTAGGTCAGCAGGTCGAGGGTGACCGACTCACTGCTCTGTCAGGGGAGGAGGAACAGAGCTGCCACAGGACCCAGCATGGACACTTGGAGCACACGCCTGGACCTTGTCCAGTCCCATCTCCAGTCTGACTGGGGGATGGTCAAGATGGACATGTTCCAGAGCCTGGCACAAAGACCTCATTAGAAGGAGAAACTGGGAAGGACTTAACTGCTCAACCATGGTGGGGGTACCAAGTGCTGTGTGTAGACCCCTGGGGGCTCCTGAAACCCTTACAGTAGCCCATGAGGCCAACTCTTCATAACATTAAACGTTATTTTCCTTTATCACTTTGTTGACATTTGCATATGATAGTACAAAAGTCATGATGAGTGCCTTCTCCCTCCCCCACCATCTTGCTGCTACTCTTGGTTGGAAGCCATCCCACACCTGAGGCAGAAAGATAGTGATCACACACACAAAAAAGAGAGAAAAGTGACTGGAGTCCATCAACTCTAGACCCCAAATTGTTATGAAAAGTGGAAAATACGTGCTAAGGAACAAGGAGACTCTGAAGAGGATCCCAAAAGACAAAGCAAAATTGGTCACCCTCACCAGCAACTGCCCAGACTGGAGGCAATGCGGAAGACAGTACTATGCAATGTTGACCAAAAAAGGTGGGCATCACTATTGAATTGGGAACACACCACACACATTCAGCCACTGTCATCGAGTCAATTCCAACACACAGTGACCCTATGGGATTTCTGAGACTGGAAATCTTTACAGGAAAACCATCAGCGCCACCACAGCTCCCGTGAACTGGGCACAGCGTGCAGAAAACAGGACAGAGTGTGCATGCTGCTCCCACCGGTCCGGGTGACTTGGGTATCATTAGAAGCATGTTGGGACAGACTGGTGAAAATGAAATCAGGCAATTTTTTTTTTTCTTTAGTAAAACTGGTCAGAGTTTGTGTTTGAAACAAACAAACAAAAATCAATAATGGTAGGTCAAACCGCTGGTATCAGACCACGTGTCAAGCCAATGGTACCAAATGGTTACTAGGAGGCCTTGTATTCTAAGTCACACATTAATTAATATTGTCACAACTTCATAGATGAATATTTATCTGTAAGCAGAGACATAATTGTTGTTGAGTGCCATCGAATTGGTTGCAACTCACAGCAACCCTGTGTAGGGTTTATGAGGAGCAGTTGATGAGCTTGAACTGCCAACCTTCTGGTTCCAATCGGCCTGGTAGTCCAGTGTGTATGCTACAGCACCACATCAGGACTCCAGAGAAAAAGGTTTAAAGGTTAAAGCACTAGTTCTACAGGATCCAACTGACAAAGGCAACTCGAAAGGTTCGACAGGAACCCGGAGAGGCAGGGAGTTTATGTGAGTCAGGGAGGAACAACCCGGAAAAGGAGGGTAAAACGGTTGCTCAACTCAAAGAATGCAATCAATTGTCACTGGATTGTACGTGAACAAAACAAGTGGCTGAATGGAGGTATGTTATATTGTATATGTTCTCAACAACAACCCAAATCATTTGTTTAAAAAGACCAGGGTCGCTATGAGTCACAACCAACTCAACACAAACAGTTAAAAGATGACATGCAGTTATTGAAATAGAATCCCCGTCCCTCTTATATGCTGACCTTACTTTTTTAATTCTGCAGTGGCTTTGTATGATAAGCACTGGACTTCAAACCACAAGGTGAGTGGTTCGAACCCACCAGCCACTCAGCAGGAGAAGACGTGGCTTTCTGCTCCCACAAAGATTTGCAGCCTCAGAAACCCGATACAGGGTGGCTTTGAGTGAGCTGACCTAATACATTCTTGTTGGTTCTAACTGTCTGTCCCCCCATTTAGAATGTGGGCTCCATGAGGTTCCCTGTGTTCCCAGGTGTACCCCCACTTCCTACGACAGTGCCTGGCACGGAGGAGACACTCAGCAAACATCTATCAAATCTCAAATAAATCACTGAAGTGAATGAGTGGCCAGATTCACTGATGTAACCAAATGTTTATAAAATACTGTTGACATTTTTAAAAAAGCAGGTGACAGAATGCCTTAGAAAATAATGTTCCTGTTGTTAAGTGCCACTGAGTTGGTTCCAACTTACAGCAACCTTGTATAGGTTTCTCAAGGAGCAGCTGGTGGATCTGAACTTGGGGTTAGCAGTCCAATCCTTATCCTACAGCACCACACTTAGGAAATATATCAACTATATATAGTGATGTTGTTTTTGTTGGGTGTCATCAAGTCAATTTCAACTCAAGGTGAAGCCACGTGACAGAGTAGACTTGTCCTATAGGGTTTTCTAGGCTGATGCTGCTATAGGAGAAACACAGTTCAAACCTACCAGCTGCTCGTTCCAAGGAAGAAAGATGAGTCTTTCTGCTCCAATAAAGATTCACAGTCTTGGAAACCCTGCATTGGGTTAGTATGAGTCAGAATTGACTTGGTGGCAATGGAATAGAAATCTTTATGGAAGCAGAAAGCCTCATCTTTCTCTGGAGGAACCGCTGGGTGGGCCCGAACCATCAACCTTTCAGTTGTCGGTTAAGAGCTTAACTACTGTGCCACCGGGATTCCTTACATATAGTGAAATATACATAATTACAGATCTACACATACACACACATATACTCACAAATAAACAATAGAAACGTCTAGAATGGTTTTCACTATTATTTTATAAGGTTAAAGGGATTGAGTTACAGGAGGGGAATAATTTTTTATTTCTTTGTTACACGTCTCTCTGACCTGAATTTTCGACAAGAGACATAACCCTCGTTAGAAGTAGAATAAAACAAAATAAAATTTCTATTTGTGAAAAAAGAAAAGCAAGTGACAGCCAGCCATGTCCTGGGAATGGAAGAGTACAAAGGGTCTCACATACAGTAGAAGGGCATCTGGTCCCCCAGGGACCCAGGGAGACAGAACCTCCCTCCCCACCCATACCTGAAGCCCGGCACTGGTCCCTACCTGGGTGAGGGCTGACTCCAGCATGTTACAGAAGATGTTGAACTGTTTGAAGTTCCCCGTCTTGTGAGTCAAATCTTCAATGACTAGTGGGGAGAGAGGAAGCAAAAGTCCTTCCTGTGGTCTGACCAGCATCACATCTATGCTCTCCCACTCTCCCTGACCCAGGGCCTCTCGCCTGAGGGAGGGACCCAACACCCCCACCCCACCTTGGAGAGCTGGTAGGGTGGAAGAAGGCCAGTGGGCAGGGTAGCGGGTTGGCCTCCTCTTCCAGGGGGCCACACTCACAGCTGGCGTCGAACTCTCCCCGCCACTGGTCAGCCGTCATCCGATCTTCCACCTCCAGCTCCAGCACCTGCCCAGAAACCACCACCCGAACGGCATGCTCCACACCCCGGAAGACGTAGTCGACTTGCAGGCCGGTCGGTTGGTCCATGACCAAGGTTGCTGAAAATGGGAAGGAGACAGAGACCCAGAGCGGCTGAGAGCCCAGAAGATGATGGAAACATCAAAAAAAGATGGAAGGACTACACAGTCACTGTACCAAAAATAACTAGTCGATGCTCAACCATTTCAGAACCATTTCAGGAGGTAGAATACGTTCCAGAACCAATGGTACTGAAGGAAGAAGTTCAAGCTGCACTGAAGGCAATGACAAAAAACAAGACTCCAGAAATTGACAGGATACAAATTGAAATATTTCAATAAACTGATGCAGCTCTCGGGGTACTCACCTGTCGAGGCCAAGAAGTTTGGAAGACAGCTACCTGTTCAACCAACTGGAAGAGATTCATATTTGCGCTCATTCCAAAGAAAGGTGACCCAATGGAATGCAGAAATTATCCAACAGTGTTGTTAATATTACACACAAAGTTTTGTTGAAACTTTGTGTGTAATATTGGTTACAGCAGCCCATGAACAGGGAGCCACCAGAAATTCAGCCAGATTCAGAAGAGGATATGGAATGAGGGATATCACCGCTGACATCAGACCCGCCTTGGCTAAAAGCAGAGAATACCAGAAAGATGTTTACTTGCTTTTTATTGACTATGCAAAGGCATTCAACTGTGTGGATCATAACAAACTATGGATAACATTGCAAAGAATGGGAATTACAGAACAGCTCATTGCACTCATGAGGACTCCATACATAGACCAGGAGGCAGTCTTTGAACAGAACAAGAGGATACCGTGTGGTTTAAAATCAGGAAAAGTGTGTATCACGGTTGTATCCTTTCTCCATACTTATTCAATCTGCGTGCTGAGTTAATAATCCAAGAACCTGGACTATCTGAAGAGTATGGCATCAAGACTGGGGGACGACACAATCTTGCTTGCTGAAAGCAAAGAGCACTTAAAATATTGATGAAGATCAAAGATTACAGTCTTTAGTATGGATTACAGCTCAACATAAAAATCTCCACAGCTGGACCAATAAACAATATCATGATAAATGGAGAAAAGATTGAAGTTGTTAAGGATTTCATTTTACTTAGATCCATAATCAAAGCTTATGAAAGCAACAGTCAAGAAATCAAACAGCATATTGCACTGGACAAACCTGATACAAAAGATCTCTTTAAAATGTTAAAGAGCATGAGGACACTAATCCAGGGAATACACAGACTACCAAACATTTAGAAAACCACACAAACAAAAGTAGACAAAATAGATGAGTGGGACATACTGAAAATTAAAAACTATGTGCATCAAAAGACTTCACCAGAAGAGTAAAAAGGGAACCCACAAAATAGGAAAAAATCTTTTGCAATGACACATCAGACAAAGGACCTATTTCTAAACTATATAGAAAACTACAACACCTCTACAAGAAAAAGACAAATAACCCAATTAAAAA